GCTAAAATGGAAATATTTTTTGCATGACTTCACATGTATAATCAAATATCACTGCTTGCTTTCTCAAGGGGTGGGGGAGGGGCAAGAAGAATAGAGAAAATCTGGAATTCAAAATTTTAAAAAATAAATGTAAAATTTTTTTTTAAACAAAAGAATTGAGAAATATTTAATGAAATAAACTTTGCCCCCATTTTACAGATAAGAAAACTGAAACTCAGGAAGATTATGTGATTTGTCCTGGGGTGATAGAACAGACTCAAAGCCAGTTCTCCTGACTCCCAAGACCAGTCTTCTCCCCTACCCTCATCAATCTTCAGATGCTTTCATTTGATTTATGAAGTGACTGGAAGGAGAAAAAAAAAATGACTAGAAGCCACTGAAGGATTCTAAGAAGCAACTGATGTGAAAATACGAACACTCTAGAAAAACAAGTCTTATTACTGTGGGCACAAAAGACTAGATACAAGGTGAAGGAAAAGGCAGGGAGAATAGCCAAGAGCAGGGGTGGGGAACCTGAAGCCTCAAGGCCACATGTGGCCCTCTAGATTCTCCAGTGTGGCCCTTTGACTGAATCCAAACTTTGAGCAAGAAATCCCCTTAATAAAAAGAAGCAAAATTTGGATTCAGTCAAAGGGCCACATGTGGCCTCAAGGCCACAGGTTCCCCACCCCTGGCCAAGAGGTTATCTGAAGTCATTCAAGCATAAGGTGATTAAATGGACCAAAAGTCAGAGAAAATGAAGGCTGAAGAGTGGATCCAATGGAAGAACTGACAGGTTTTAGAAGGAGACAAGATATGAAAAGCTCCAAGTTGACCAGGAAGTGACAAGGAAGATGAATTTGGGGCCTATAGACTGGTGAAGAAACAATGAATTTTGTTTATGAAACAAAATATGTCAGAAAGGCAACATTTTTATCATGAACTTAATAAGTTATAGTCACTGACATCTCAGTCTTTTTTTTCATGTTGTTGGAAGGACAGGTAAAATATCCCATTACAGCAAGGGCCACTATAAAGATAAGTCAAGTAGAACAAACTTATCTCCATATTCCAGCACACAACCCAGACCTAGAGTGAGTGACTTGAGGTTAGAATGAGTTATCTAATTAACTAATACTTCCCCCCACCCAGCCTCTTCATATAAAAGTAATTAAAACAAAAGGAATGGTTATTTTGTTTGCAGTGAGTGGGAAGGGGTGGGAAGCAGGTTTTTATTATGTCCTGTCATGAAGAACCAAAGGCCTCTCCTCTACCTCTCAACATTTAAACCACAAACCAAGAGGCCACCACAACCATTGCCTTCCAACAGATTCAGGATCAAGGACAACATCTTGGCAGCCAGCAACATATGCATTTGTATGGATTTTATGCTCTTTAAAGCACTTTCCAGCCTCCAAGTTAGTAACAAAGCTAGTGGCTAAAACTCAGGTTCTCTAACTCACATTCCAGTAATCTCTCTACAGTGGTGACTTAGGATAATGGAAACAGAATCTGGAGTTAGAGGACCTGGATTCAAATCCCATGTCTACTACTTATAACCCATGTGACCCTGAGGGAGTCACCTCTATGAGCTTCATTATGATCACGTCAAATTAAGGATTTGTCTAAATATAAAGTCCCTTCCAGCTTTTGAGTCTCATGATCCCATGTAAGCTTCTGGAGAGCATAATTATTTTATTATTTACTTTGTATCCCCAATACTTTGTACCCCAATCAGGTGCATGCTAGGCACCTGATAAATGTTTGAATCTCCATTTCTCCCTTACTATATGGTCTTCCAATCCTAGCTTTGGGACAGATCATAGCTGTGTCTCATGATCTCCAATGATATTTAACAGTCTCCAGTGATCAAAGGTGCTTCCATCAATCAATCAATCAACATTTATTAAGTGCCTACTACGTTGCCAGGCACTTTGCTAAGTGCTAGGGATACAAAAAGAGGCAAAAGAGAGTCCCTGTCCTCAAGAAGCTTACACTCTAATGGAGCGATTTCAAAGGGACTTATACTATTGTCTTAAAATTCCAAGAGAAAATTTTAATTAATTTTAATCTTAAGAAGTCAATACTATGGGAGAATAATAGTGTTATAGTGGGAAATAAAATGGATGATATGTTCCAAAAGAAGTGAGTAATCACTCCCCTAATGGCTTCCAAGCACTTCCATTCACTTAGGAGTTTTACTACCCTGACTTTAGGAACTAGATTTCTGTTTCAATCATCAGATTTAGGAGCCTATGAATGGGATTTTTATATTATGACAGAATTTTACTCTACAAATACAACTCACGTAGTTTGTTATAATGGAATTTTATCTGTCTTGTCATTAAATCATAGCTGAGATATATAGACAAACATAAAAATATATATAAAACATGAATTTTACAAAGAACTTTCCCCACAATAAGCTTGTGAGGCAGGAAGTATAAGTATTATTACCCCCATTATACATAAGGAAACTGAAGCTCAGATCAAGAAAGTTGCCTTAGGTCAAACACCTAGGAATTTTCAGTAAGTCATTCAGAGCTAATCAAGGGTCTTCTAATTCCTAGGCTAGTGTTCCTGGGGGTTGTCAGGATACTACTCAGGTTGTCTCATCCATCTCTTATATTTTGGCCATGCTCTGAAACCACATGTGTATTTCTAAAGGCAGTTGGATTAATTTACATTTCTAAAAACCCAAGGTAGCTGCTATTTAACCACTTTTCAAAGGAACTGTTTCATTTTTTTTTAACTTTGTATCCCTTTGCATATAACAAGCACTTGATAAATAGAAGGTAATTGTATCTCAAGAGCTTAGTGCTTTGCACATAGTAAGCACTTAATATATGCGTCATTCATTCATTCAACAAATCTGCCACTTTGGCTTTCTCTTCTTCCACTGGCTCTATTCTCTTTTTCTCACTCCAACCTTCAAAGCAAAACAAACTATTCCCTCAGTCAGTATGCTACCCTCAAGTTTCATATTCAAGGTGGAAATGAACAGGTTTGTTCTTGTCCTTGGTTGTCTTGCAATTAGGAAGATGAGTAGACAGGAACATGGAGAAAAGGGACCTTCTGTGGGGGCTAGTCCTACATCTACCCCCCACTCCTGGAGAAATTTCCTACATGGGAATATGACTAACTCCCATAAAGGCAAGTCATGGAATTCCAGGGCATAAGTATTTGAGAGTCTCAAGTTTAAGGAGTTCATTGGCAAACACAAAGAGGAAAGGAGATGGATCCTTGGATTCAGAGTTTAAAGATCCTTTAGAGACCAACCTCTTCCTCATGAGATGGGAAACGGCAGCAAAGAAAGGCCAAGCAATTTTCCCAAGCTAGGAAACAGCAATGATCAGGACTCAAAACTAAGTCCCAACTCCAAATCCTGGGCTGACTCTAGGAGGCTCCCAGAACTCAGACTTAGCCTAAGGCACAAAACAGTGCTGAGGGCTAAGCAATGAGGGACACTTTCAACTTTTTTTTTTAATAAATGCACATATTTTTAACATCAGAAAATTCCACTGTCCATCACACATTCAGTTTTCTGTGTGATTTTAATCCCAATGTGTCAGGGTCCTTATCTGTACAACTAGAATGCTGAACTAAGGTTCTCGTCCTGTTCTGACATTCGGTGATTCCGGGAGATTGCATGTGATCTGGTAGACAAAAAAGGGAACAGAATTTTCACAAACCAGGTAGTAGTGGGATGTTTATAAGTAATGGAGTTAATACTAACGGGTAGGAAATGACAAGCTAAAATAAGCATCCAGTGCTTAGCTTACATTTTTGGTCCCAAATCCGGGTCTGTCATTAAGGAGGAACTATGGCAACAAACAGAAGGGAAAGTAAAAGCTAAAGAAAAAATAGCTAAAGCAAAGACTAGCATAGGGAGCTAGAAAGAGTATGGTAGAAAGATCATTAGACTGAAAGATTGCCCCCCCCATAGTCATGTGACTATATGCTTCCCCTCTCTGGGCTGCTTTCCTCTTCTGTGAAAGTGAGAGTTGAACTGAATTGTTTCTACAGTCTCTTCCGGATTTAACATTCAAAGATACATAGTATATCTCATGAGTCGGGGGAAAAAAAAACTCTGAAACCACTTGGTCCATGAGCAGGAATATCCTTCACTTCACAGCACACCTGGTAAATGGTCCTAGAGCCTCTGCTTATGCCTTCCCTCTTTGGATAGGGAACCCAAGCCTCCTCTTGCAGCCCTTTCTATTTTTGAATAGCCTCTAATTATCCACCTTGAATAATTATATAATATTTAATATTATATATTAAACTGAAATTTGTCTTCCTGCAACTTCCTTCTATCTGTTGCTTCTATTTTTATCCTGTGAGGCCAAGCAAAACAAGTTTAATCCATGTGTCCTGCACGTGACAGCTCTTCAAACACTTGAAGATAACAATCACATCCCCCCTAAGTCTTGCCTTCTCCAGACTAAGCTGTCTGCAGCACTGGCTAAGGTATCCACTCTAGCTTGGGAATTAATGGGGACTCCAGTAGTTTCCAAGTTTTCCATGGACTAGCTACAGATAAGAAGATGGGAAAAGAGAAGGGAATAAGAATATAGGGTGTGCTTGGACTATCTGGAGGTGAAAAAGTGGGAGAAATGGAAGGAAAATTCCTTCATTTATCCACATCAACTTCAAGCCAAGATAAATTAGGAAGATACTTGGTTCTAATGTTAGTATAAGGAAGGCCAGACTCATTTCCCAGAGTCATTAGAATAAAGCTATAATGGAAGTAATTTATGAAACAATTCAGGTGATCCTGCCTATTATTTTATACAGACACAAAGGCTGCAAAGAAAAACTGCAAAACAGCAGTCAAGAACAAACACTCCAGAGGACAACTTCCAAGCCCCAGAGGGGGAGAGCTAAGGCAAATCAGCAAACAACCCAGACAAGAAAGTTCACCAATCACTTCAGTAAAACTCAGCAGAACACAGACAGGAATACTGTAAGGACACTGAGACTCCCACACCCATCTCCATTACAGAAAGCCAACCATATCCTTAGACCAAAGGAACAAACTTTTATTACAGAATGATCAGAACATAAAAACAGCCCATCCAAATGGGGAACTGGGCCAAGGCTGTAACTGCCAGAGAGAACAGGAGGTCAATGGCAGTTGCCAAGCTAAGGATACCCCCTGGCCCATCTTCCTGAAAGATGAGGGAAAAGCTCCAACTTCTCCATCATCCAGAGTTCCTTTCCCCCAAGAATAGGTCAAGAGCAACAAGGCTCATCCTAAGACCACTTTACGTGTGTGGGGGGGAAGGGTATGTGTGTGAGAGTGCTGGTGGGGGGAGTACAAAGCCCCATAGGAGAAGCCATAGTTGCATGTTCAAAGGAAGAGAAGATGCCTGGCCTTTCTGTCCCGGGTTCCAGGGGTCAGGGGCTGGGATGAAGCACCTTCATCTCCTGTGGAGTCACCCTGGCAATACCAATCACTCAGCAGCTCCCCACTCACTAACGGATCCCAGCCACAGGCACCTGCTGCTGTTTTCGAATCTTGTTGAAGAGTTCCATATACTGGGCCATGGTGTCAGCAGGGCCATATACCCCGTCGTGTCTATTCCCAAACACTGCTGGTGCCCCTGGATTGTGGTTGCCCAGGAAACTCTGCAGGAACTCCAAGAGCAGGTTCCAGCAGTCACTAGCCACCACACATGGGCCATACTCCACCTAGGGGCCAAAAGGACATGTGATTGAGAATAATTTGATTCAATCAAGTGCCTAGTACATGCAAGCCCTAAGATCATGGGATTCAGAGCTAAAAAGGTCCTTAAAGATCATCTAGTCCAACCTTCCATTTAAAGAAACTATGGGTCAGCTAGGTGGCGCAGTGGATAGAGCACTGGCCCTGAAGTCAGGAGGACCTGAGTTCAAATCCAGCCTCAGACCAAACACTTGACACTTACTAGCTGTGTGACCCTAGGCAAGTCACTTAACCCCAATCACCTAAAAGTAAAATAAATAAATAAAATTTAAAAAAAATAAAGAAACTATGACTCAAGAGAGTTGAACATTGCCTATGGCCATAGAGACGAGACATAAACCCATGTTCTGTGCCTGAATTGAGTATATCCATCATGGTGGCCTCTCTCTGCTACGGATATTTAAGCAAGATATGACACTGATGCTTCTCTTAAGCAGGTTATAATCTAATAGCAGGGAAAAGACATAGACAACTAATTACAATAAGAATGAGTGTGAGGAAGTAAGCTCAAAGGACTGAAAAATCCCTAATTTTCCATCTCTTCTTATCCACTGGCTACTTTCCTGTTACTTACAATCATGGCCAGATCTTCCTCATTCTTAAAAAAATGTACCGGCCTGGGGCAGCTAGGTGGTGCAGTGGATAGAGCACCGGCCCTGAAATCAGGAGGACCCGAGTTCAAATACAGCCTCAGACCAAACACTTGACACTTACTAGCTGTGTGACTTTGGGCAAGTCACTTAACCCCAACTGCCTTACCAAAAAAAAAAGTGTCAGCCTGCCAAACTCCCATCGAGCATCTCTCTCCATCCTCTCGTTCGCAGCCACACTCCTGGAAAAAGTAATTTGTATTCATGCCCTCTAAGTCCTCTCCTCTCACTTTTCAATCATTTGTAATCTGGCTTCTCATTTTCTAACTGAACTCAAACAGTTCTTTTTCAAGTTACCAATGATCTCTTAATTGCAAAAATCTAATGGCCTTGCTCAATCCTCATCCCTTTGGACTTTTCTGAAGCATTTAACATGATTAACCCCTTTTCTCTGTGGATACTATTCTCCTCTCTCCGGGTTTTTGTGACATTGCTGTCTCTTGGTTCCCCTCCTACCTGTCCGAGTGCTTCTCAGTCTACCTCAAGAGGTTCTGTTCTTGAATAGGCATCCTTCTTTATTCAATGTCTGACTGATGTGATTTCATCAGCTCCCAAAGGTTTAGTGATCATTTTTACCAAATGCTTCCCAAATCTATATAGCCAAACCTAATCTCTGTCCTAAGTTCCACTCCCACACCCTCAGCTGCCTATTGGACATTTCCAAATGAATTCACACAGGCGTCACAACCTCAAACATCTAAAAGAACATTAATTAGCTTTCCCCTAAAATCTGTCCTCTTCCTAAGTGCCCTGTTTCAGTCAAGGGCAGCACCATCCTGCCAGTCACTCAGGCTTGCAACCATGAGGTCATCCTTGATGCTTGCTCCCTTAGCTCTCAAATCCAATCAGTTGTCAAGTCTTATTGATTCTCTCTAAAATAGATCTCACACATCCAGTCCCTTCTCTCCACTCACAGCAACCACCCTACTTCAGATTCCTCCTGTCACCTCTTGCCTGGACTACTGCAACAGGTTCCTAATTTGGATCCCAGCCTTATCTCTCCCCTCTCCATATCTTCAGAACTGCCTGCCATTCATTACAGCACTTAGCACAGTGCTAGTACACAGGAGGTGCTATATAAATTCCCTTCCCTTCTCCATTCATAAAGCAGAGATCTGAGTATCTCCTTTGCCTGCTCAAGAATTCTCCAGTGGCTCTCCTTTGCCACTAGGATAAAATATAAACTCATCTGGCTTTTAAACCCCTATACTATCTGGCAGTACTTTTGAGGCTTACTGAATATTATTCTCCTTCACATACTTTACATTCCAACAAAACTAGCTGTTTGTTGTTCCCTACACAAAACATTCCATCTTCTATGCCTCAGACTTTGCACATGCTGTCCCATGCCTGACATGCACTTCCTCTTCACCTTCAATTCAAATAATCTCCAGCTTCCTTTTAAGCTCAGCTTAAGTTCCACCTCCAGCAGGAGGCCTAGCTTGATCCCCCTTATTGCTAAATCCCTCTAGAAATTACTTTGTAATATGTTGTAGTTGATAATAATGGTGGTAACAGAGCTAGCATTTACACAGCACTTGAAAGCATGTGAAGTGCTATACAAATATTAACTCTTCCTTTTATATTCACAACAACCCTGGCACGGTAGGTACTATTATCCTCATTTTACAAATGAAGAAATTGAGGATGAGAAAGGTTAAGAGACTTGCACAGGGTCATTCTGCCTGAGGCAGAATCTGAACTCAGGTCTTCCTGACTCCAGGTACAGGATTCTCTCCACTGTGCCTCAAGTTAATTTTCATTGTACATGTTCCTTGACAGCCTATTTAATTTTTTTTGTATTTGTATCTCAAGTAATTAAGACACTGCCTAGCACAAACTCAGTACTCAATAAATACTTGTTGAATGACTGGTTGAATGAATGAATGAATGAATGAAAACAGAGGACCAGGCAAAGTATTATGAGAAATATGAGGAAGGAGAGAACACTCTCAGCTGAGTCATTGGGAAGACTTCATGGAGGAATTAAATTTATAAGAATCAAGACTTATTATAAATTAGACTTATAAAAAAGGAAACATCAACAGAAAGCATAAAATAAGACTTAGAAAGGTAGGCTGAAGCCAGACTGTGGAAAGTTCTACATACTAGGATCAGGAGCCTATATTTTTTGGAGCAGGCAAAGGGAGGTCACAAAGTTTTTTTTTTTGGCTAAGCAATGGGATTCAGTGACTTGCCCAGGGTCACACAGCTAGTAAGTGTTATGTGTCTGAGGCCGGATTTGAACTCGGTTCCTCCTGAACTCAGGGCTGGTGCTCTATCCACTCAAAGTTTTGAAAAGGGATATTTACGACCATTATAGGAAGGTGACACTGAAGTATAAGCCCATGTGCCTCCTCACATCCTCCCAAAGAACCTAGCACAATATTAGACATACATTAGGCACTCAGCAAATACTTTTGGAAAGAATGACAAGAACAGTTTAGGTACCTTTTAGCCTCATACAATCGTCCTCTCTGCTACTTCTAAAAGAGGACTCTTTTCTGGATAATCAGTCCTCCAGATTTACCCTTAAGACCAAGAGACAAGACTGAATTTCCTAATGTGCTGAGTGAAAACTCCTATGACACGTAAGAATTTCAGCACTTAGGACAAATTCAACTGAGTTAAGTGCAGGCAGTCTAAAGTTTGACCACTGTGCTTGGATGAGGTAGACTGGACAGAAGTCTCGATAATTAAGAAGGCTGAGGCTCTTGGAGAGAACATGTTTGAAGCGGACAGAGATAGGGAAGACTGTAGATAAGGTACTGAACTTACTGAAAAAGAGCAAGATGACCTAGAGAGGTCAACAGATAGCAACAATAAGGTTCTCAAGAGACTAGTGAGGAGAGGTTACTAAATGATGGTAGCACAGGAAGGGTCTAAAAATGGCAGTGGGAAACATGGATTATACCAATCAAAAACAGCACTTCCTCTTGGTCCTGTATGCCTGGAAGTATAAGAAGAGGAGCAGAAAACCTCAGAGATGGTACCAGGGAATGTGATGTCCTCTGGAGAAAGCTACACTTTCAGTGAGCATCAGAAAAAAGAAGGAACAGGAGAGGAAGAGGTGCAGGATGCAGAGAAGTGTGTGAACAGTCAAGGAGAGAGGCAAGAGGGTATGGTGGCTAGAGATCAGGCCTGCATCTAAGTCCCACCTCCTACACATACCAGCTGCACAGTCCTGAGGATACTGCTTTACTTTTGCTGCTCTAGACCAGAAATGACAAAGAAGATGCCACAAGTACTAGCAGAAGGAGCTCCTCACTAAGAGTTCCCTAAGTGATGAAATTATAAGTCTGGTTCAAAAAAAGAAAGTATAGAGGAGTGTTGCCGAAGGCTGGTGGAAGAGGAGGAGAGAGGAGGACAAAAGGCTGCGGAGGCCAAGGCTGAGTTTACTAAGAAAAGGGGCTGAGAGGCTGCCTTCACCAGTGATTCCTGGCATCCCTCACAGTGGGCCCACAGGTCAAATAATGTGTTAAGAATTGTCCACTCTGGTGGAAGGAGGGTCCCACTGCCCCCCACCAACACAGGAGCCAGGATTCAAAAGCAAGTTTGAATTCTACGTCTAAATACACACTTGATATATCATGAAAATTTTGAATTTTCACACCCTGTCAATTTCTGTCAAGCTGGAACGTTAAGTTACTGAAGGTAATCATGGAAGAACAAAGTGGGAAGGTGTCATATGGGTATCTACACTATATGGATGGGTGTACAGAGTTGGCAAAATGGCTGGAAAGAAGAGGGAAGGAGAGAGAGTACTTTTTGTGTTGTTGTCAAGCTCAGAAGTATGTCACAGATGAAAAAAAAAAAAGACTGGGGCACAATTGTATTACCAAGCTTAGTGCTGAAGAAGAAATGAGAAAATTCACCTATGGATTTCCTTCACTGCAGAGGTGGAGAACTATGGATGTACAATGCTGCACATACTGTCAAAAAATGGTCAATATGTTGATTAGTTTTGCAGAACTACATTTTTTCCTCTTTTTCAATATTTGTTACAAGAATTGGCTTAATGAAGGATATTTAGAAATAAAAATGTATCAACAAAAATAAGATTTCTTTCTAAAAAGAAAAAGGTTGGAAAATTTCATTCATCCTACAGATGACTAAATCCTAACCATCTTTCAAGGCCCAGCTCACATGATACCTTATCCATTGTACCTGACCTGTGTTACCATGGATAAGTCATTTCTCTAATCCTATTTCTTTATATGTTAGATAGAGATAATAGTCTGTTGCATAGGGTTGTGAAGAAAGCATTCTGTAAACTTTAAAGTGCTAGAGAAATGTGAGTTACATATGGCTTTCCCCCAGATCCTCATTAACAGCACTGTTTTGCACCTCACTAACATACTTATCACGCATTTATTAAAGCTGTCTATATTGCTATCTTCTCCCTCTTCTAGATTGTAAGCTCCATAAGGACAGTGTCAGGTCTTATCTAAAATGTGTATTTCACTTAGATTCTTACACAATAGTTCTTAATATTTGTTAAAAGACTGAAAGACACTGGAATCTAGATTAAATGCAAATATCGATCTTGTTTCAGGGAACCTTGACTAAACAGATTTCCCTCTTCCTCTCAGACAAAAGGTGGGAGAGTACAGGTTCAGAATGCTATATTCTATGTAAGAAGTTGTTGCTGAAGAATTGGAAATAGAAGGTTTGTCCATCAATTGAGGAACGGCTGAACAAGTTGTGGTTTATGAATGTAATGGAATACTATTGTACTATAAGAAATGATGAGCAGACAGATTTCAGAAAAACCTGGACTTACATGAACTGATGCTGAGAGAAGTGAGCAGAAGCAGAACATTGTACACAGCAACAGCAACATTGTGCAATGATTAACTATGATAGATTCAGCTCTTCTCAGCAATACAATGAATCAAAACAATTCCAAAAGATTCATGATAGAAAATGCTAGCCACAGCCAAAGAAAGAACTATGTAGTCAGAATGCAGATTGAAACATACTATTTTCACTTTTTTTTGGTTATTTCTTTCTCGGAGTTTTTCCCTTTTGTTCTGATTCTTCTTTTACATTATGACTAACGTGGAAATATGTTTGACATGATTGTACATATATGGCTTATATCAGATTGCTTGCTATCTTGGGGAGGGGGAAGGAAAGGGAGGAGGGGAGGAAGAAAAATTTGGAACTCAAAATTTTACAACAAAATGAATGCTAAAAACTATCTTTACATGTAATTGAAAAAAAAATACTATCAAATTGAAAAAAAGAAGTTGTTGCTGTATCAGTTAGTTGTCCTTAACTATTTAAAAAATGGTAATAATCCAGGATTCTATAGGGTACCAAGGGGAAAGTAAAGTTAATAATTTTGTTTTAAAAAAGAGTTTGTTAATTTGCTAGACAAACAAATACACCTTGAACACAGTAATGGCTTAATAAATATTTGTTAATAAGTACACTTATGACACATGGATTGATTTTTATCAGCCCAAAGGCCAAGAGCCAACAGTCACTACAGTCACCCTTTCTCACCATTTCAATGAGCTGTCACGGGTCTCTAAGGGTTAGGAGCCAGCATATAGACAAAAAGTAAAGAGAATCCCATTCCACAGCCTCATGAGAGATGGTGGTTGGTGCACTAGAAGGAAAAGGCTTAGAACCTAGGCATAACATTTCTAAAAGGTTGCCAACCACTATCAAAGAGGATATCAAAGACAAACAGGAACATCAGACCTTTCCTCTCTCTAGCTCCCCCTTTCAAATCCTCCCATACCTCTACCCCTCAGCACTAATAACTATGCTTTCTACACTCAAACAAATAGCAACAGAGTTATTAATCACCAGTAGATACAGAGAACTATGTCAGGTGTTGGGAAAGAGACAAAGTTTAGCTACAACACTTTCCAAATGCTTACAGTACTTTTCCTCATGTGTAAAAGCACCTACCTCATAGGGCTGTGAGGATCAAATTCAGTACTACGTAAAGCACTATATAAATTGTTACTTATCATCATCATTGGCTAGTACAAGTCCTCATTAACCTCCCAGATCTGCTATCTCCTTCTATTCCTCTGAAAACTAATCATTCTCTGGCCTAATGGGGACAAAGGAAACAGCTGGTGAAGTATAGTTTCATGCTCCACATTTATAGGAGATGGAGAGGAAAAGGCATGTCCTAGAACTGGTTCCATATGTAAAGAGAACTATGAGTGTGCAAGTGTGAAAACTGCGGATAATATAGATCAGCAACTTGTCTGATAATCAACTCCTGGGTCTCATAGCTAGCACTTGTCAGAGGGTGGGACTTGAACCAGGTCTTTCTTGATTTTAAGGCATGGCTCTCTATTCACTATATCACATTGCCTCTCCCCTTATTCCATAGAAGTCCTTTTCCCAGTGTTCCTAAGAATTATTGTGTCTAAGAGAATAGAAATATACAGGTAGCTAGGAAAACAATGGGGTGGGAATCTGGCACACATAAGTAGAAATGTAGACATAATTAGGAACATGGAGTTTTGGTCTCTACTCTGCTATTTACACACTGTGTGTATTGATCTTAGCCAAGTTATTTCCCTTCTTTGGGCTTGATTTTCCTCACCTACAAAACAAGGGATTTGAACTAAATATTGTCTAAAGTTCCTTCCAGCTCAAACATTCTAAACTTACTCTCATTTGGAAGATTCCATAGTTTTCAGGATTCTTTGCTGGGTGTCCCCTCTAGATTGTCCCTAACCCCATTTCCCCAAAGACTCACCTCCACAGAGATGCCTCTAGCGCTGGGCCCCATGGTGACAGTGCCCACTTTCACCAGGAAGTCACAGTACTGGTAGCGGGTGCCACGGGTCTCAATCTTGTTGGCCTTGGCATTTTGGAAAAAGCCCTTGAGCTTCACCATGAGCACATCAAAGTTTGCGTCGGCAATGAGACAGGGGCCATTCTCAAAGAGGGCAAAGCAGCTTAGAGGGTATTCTGAGTTGTGCATCACATACATCAGCTTCCCAGCCTGGCCTGCAAAGGAGTAAAGGCCCAACTCATTACCAAATCCATAACAATGTCGAATTTAAGGTATAAGGTGAGGAGGTTGGACTAGAGAAGCCTTAGGGTCCTTTCCAAGAGTAAGGTTCTATGATGTTGGGAGAAGGAAGCCCTACTGCTGATAGTCTTGGTATTTATACAGAAGCATCAGGACAAAGCTGGAGTATTTACAGGGAAAAGGAGGGAAGGATGGAAAGGTAAAGAAGCAACAATAATCTTAACCCTAAATATTGCCCAGAGATGCCCAGCCAGCTTTATGTAGAGAACCTAAAGGACCTGTGCTCTTCTTCTATGGGAAATGTCTTCACAAGTAAGAAACAAAAAGTTCAGATGTTAAGGTACAAGACAATACTTCTGGGTTCCCAACCTAATTTAGTCACATCATCCTAACTAGTTTGAGCCCCATCCATCTACACAGAAGGGTAGGGTGGGGTATAATATGAGGAATGGCAAAATCAAATGGAATCTACACCAAATGGCTCCCCATAACTGGATCTCAAACCAGTAACATATCAGTATGAATATAAGCCCTATCTCTTCCCAACATCTTAGGACCAAAAGGATAAAAGAACATGATCATAGCTGTAGAGTTAGAAAGGACCTCAGAGGTCATTTAGCTGAATTCCCTCATTTTACAGATGAGAAAACTGAGGCCTAGAGACATTAAGAGACTAGCCCAAGAACACACATGTATTACGCATTAAGATGGGATGTGAACCCAAGACTCCAGAACTGATGTTCTTTCCACTGTCCCACTGCTTCCTCTGCTGTGCAAAAAACTTGAAGGCACACCATAATGTAAGTCTTAGCAATTTTCAGTATATGCCAATGCCAAAGCCCTAGCAGGTTCTATAAAGCCTGAAAAGGTTTAAACTAGGGCACAAGGAACAGACTAGTTGATTTGGTACAGAAAGGTTCAGGCCTCCCCTTGCTGCCCCAAAAGGAGGACACTTGGTAATTAACTCTTTCACTGTGATAACCTGTAGAGTGAAAAGAGAAAAAAGATAAGAGAGGAAAGAAGAGAAAGAAGGTCAGGTCAAGAGAGTAGTGAAAGATGCCTGGCCAGAGATGGAACACAACAGAGATGGAACAACAAATGCTAGTTAAGAACATGCTTATCAAAACCAATGCAACCAAAATTAGAAGGAAAGCAGAAAGCTGGGAAACAATTTTTAGAACAAGTGTGTCTGATAAAGGCCTCATTTCTAAAATATACAGAGAACTGAGTCAAATTTATAAGAAATCAAGTCATTGCCCAATTCATAGGTGGTCAAAGGATAATGAACAGGCAGTTTTCTGAGGAAGAAATTAAAAATATCTATAGTCATATGAAAAAGTGTTCTAAATCACTACTGACTAGAGAAATGCAAATTAAAACAACTCTGAGGTACCACCTCATATCTATCAGATTAGCTAATATAACAGAAAAGGAAAATGATAAATGCTGGAAAGGATGTGGGAAAACTGGGACACTAATATACTGCTGGTGGAGTTGTGAACTGATCTAACCATTCTGGAGAGCAATTTGGAACTATGTCCAAATGGCTATAAAACTGTGCATACCCTTTGATCCAGCAATAACTGCACTTCTAGGGCTGTATCCCAAAGAGATCATAAAAAAGGGAAAAGGACCCACATGTACAAAAATATTTCTAGCAGCTCTTTTTGTGGTGGCAAAGAATTGGAAATTGAGGGGGCATCCATCAACTGGAGAATCGCTGAACAAGCCATTCTGAGCCAAGCTGAACAAGTTGTGGTGTATGAATGTAATGGAATACTATTGTGCTATAAGAAATGACAAGCATGGATGATTTCAGAAAAACCTGGACTTACATCAACTGATGCTGAGAGAAGTGAGCAGACCTAAGAAAACATTGTACACAGTAACAGGAACATTGTGCAACAATCAACTATGATAGTCTCAGCTCTTCTCAGCAATACAATGATCCAAGACAATTCCAAAAGACTCGTGATGGAAAATGCTACCCACATCCAGAGAAAGAACTATGGAGTCTGAATGCAGATCGAAGCACATTATTTTCACTTGGTTTTTTTTTCTCATAGTTTTTCTTTTTTGTTCTGATTCTTCTTTTACAATATGACTAATGTGGAAATATGTTTAACATGATTGTACACGCATAACCTATATTAGATTGCTTGTTATCTTGAGGAGGGAGGAAGGAAGGAGAAAAATTTGGAACTCAAAATCTTCTGTTCCCCCCATATAAATCACCAAGCATTTTTTTCCCTTTTTATTTTAAATTAATTTATTTTTAGTTTTCAACAATCACTTCCATAAGCTTTTGAATTTTCAGTTTTCTCCCCCTCCCTCCCCCTGATGGCAATCTGATATAGGCTCTACCTATACATTCCTATTAAACATATTTTCACATTAGTCATGTTGTAAAGAAGAATTAGAACCAACAGGAGGAACCACAAGAAAGAAGAAACAAAATAAAACAGAAGGAAAAAAAAGAGCAAATAGCATAGTTCAATCTGCATTCAGATTCCATAATTCTTTCTCTGGATGTAGATAGCATGAGACTTTTGGAGATGTCTTAGATCCTTTGCCAAGAATTGCTGAGAAGAAGCTAAGTCTATCAAAGTTAGTCATCGCACAATGTGGCTGTTACTGTGTACAACGTTCTCCTGGTTCTGCTAACTTCACTGAGCATCAGTCCATACAAGTGTTTCCAGGTTTTTCTCAAGTTCACTTGCTCAACATTTCTTATAACACAATAGTATTCCATTACATTCATACACCACCACTTACTCAGCTATTCCACAATTGATGGGCATCCTCTCAATTTCCAATTCTTTGCCACCACAAAAAGAGCTGCTATGAATATTTTTGTACATGTGGGTCCTTTTCCCATTTGTATGATCTCTTTGGGATACAGCCCTAGAAATGCTATTGCTGGGTCAAAGGGAATGCACATTTTTATACCCCTTTTGGGCATAGTTCCAAATTGCTCTCCAAAATGGTTGGATTAGTTCACAACTCCACCAACAATGCATTAGTGTTCCAATTTTCCAACATCTTCTCCAACATTTTTCATTTTCCTGTTTTGTCATGTTAGCCAATCTGATAGGTGTGATGGGGTACCTCAGCGTCGTTTTGATTTGCATTTCTCTAATCAATAGTGATTTACAGCACTTTTTTCATGACTATAGACAGCTTTCATTTCTTCATCTGAAAACTGCCTGTTCATATCCTTTGACCATCTATCAATTAGGGAATGCCTTGTATTCTTATAAATTTGATTTAGTTCTCTACATATTTTAGAAATGAGGCCCTTATCAGAGACACTAGTTATAAAAATTCTTTCCCAGTTTTCTGCTTCCCTCCTAATCTTAGTTGCATTGGCTTTATTTGCGCAAAAACTTTTCAATTTAATGTAATCAAAATTCTCCATTTTGCATTTCATAATGTTGGAACTCAAAATCTTATAAAAATGAATGTTTGAAACTATCTTTACATGTAATTGGAAAAAAATGAAATACTATTAAGTGAGAAAAAGAGTGTATTTGCCAAATATCTTGCAAATCGAATCAGAGGCTTTAAAACTTAAAGAAAAAAAGGGGGGGAGGGAAAAAACTGCCAAGTCAGATAGCATAAAGCTAGAAAGAAGAAAGAAGCAGTCAAAAGACTCAATTTCACAAGAATCAAAATCTAAGAAAGCAGCAAGTAGTAAAATCCACCGAATCCCATACAAAAAAAGTTCTGTCAAAATACAAAGGCTCAAAGTTTAGGGACAAAGCAGATTTAGTGATCCTAAAGCATGGAGGCAAATTTTACCTCAAAGATATCAGTGAGACTTGGTGAGATGAAACCCATGAATCTGGATGTGAACAATTTATTCAAAAGAAACAGGATAGGTAAAAGGGGATGGGAGGAATGAAACAGCATTTTGTATTAAGAAAGTATACTCCTATGATAAAGTCCAAAAACCAGAGGGGAGAATCCTGAAGAGATTGACCCAAGTATTTGGGTGAAGGTCAAAAGGAGAAATAATAGTGATTTTTGTCACTGGAGCATACTGTAAACCACTAGGAAAGAAAGAGGAAATAAATGAAGAAACAGATCACAAGCTTGGTATGGAGGCATGATACAGTAGTTATGGAAACTTAAAATTATCCATATATCTGCTAGAGTTCTTTCTCTCTGATGAAAAAGTGGCTAATAACCTCTTGACTTGCTTTAGTGATAATTTCATCCTTCAAAATGTGAAGGACACAATAGGGGAAAATTCTATTCTGGATTTGGTTCTCACTAAAAGAGAGGAATTGGTTGCTAGGGCAGAAAGGATATGTACCCTGGGGAGGAAGTGATAACCTCCTCCTAGAGTTTGTGATAGAGATGGAGAAGAAGTCTTTGCATAGTCTGGCATACACCCTAGATTTGGGAAAAGCAGATTTCAAAGGATTCAGCAAAAAGATAGATGTGATCCCATGGACAAAAATTCTACAGTGGAAGTCAGCCCAAGGGGAATGGTACATGCTCAAAATGAAATTCTGAAGATACAAGGGGAAACAATTCCAATGATGAGGAAAAAAAATACAACACAATTTTTCTGAAAAGACTGATGTAGATGCATAACTTACCACCTAACTTACATTTTGAGAAGATGCAAGCAAAACCAGGTACTAGGATGAATAGAAGAGTGTAGCATGGTCCTATAAAAATAGTGCTGGGAATACTAATATTCAAAATGAGCTGAGGCTGGCAAGGAAGGTTAAGGACAACAAAAAGGGCTTTTTTATTTTGTTTTGTTTTTTTAAAGCTACAAAGGAGGATATATATGAGGAGGATATATATATAAGGAGGATAATTGATAACAATTAGGAAGGCAGAGCTGTTTACATCTTAAATGTACTGCTTAGATAGGCAGACTCAATTCTCTAATGGAGTGCCCCAGGGATCTGTGTTTGGCCCCATACTGATTAATGTTTTTCTCAATGACTTGGATAAAGGAATAGATGGCAGTATCATCAGATTTTTCGGATGACAGAAACCTAAGAGGGACAGCTAGATGACACAGTAATAGGATCCAAAGATCCAAAAGATCTTCAGAGGTAGAGTATTAGAAGACTCTAACAAGATAAATTCAAAAAGGATAAATGTCAAATCTTGCTTGCACTTGGGTATTTTAAAAAAAAAATCAATTCCACAAATATAAGATTGGGGAGGCATGTTTAGGCAGCATTTTTTCTGAAAAAAGATATGGGGGAAAGGGGGAGGACCTGGCAAATTGATGATACCACACCTGAGACATTTCTAGAGATGTTTTCAACTTTCCCTCCTGTGAAATGCAGTCTCTTTTCAGCACTGTCCCCTGGTTGTCCTTTGTGTCTGGGTGTGCAACAGGGCCAGGATTGTACTCCCCAAGATACGCTCCTATCTCCCATAGGAACACTAGGCCATGCCTTTATCTATCCCATGATGGCTAGACACAAGAAAGAAAGACAAAACTCTTCAGTGCCCTGGAGAAGGAGGAGCAAGAAAAAGGTAGAATGGCACTAAGTCCTTAAAATCCCTCCTTATAAGTTGGTACTTAAGAATCAGCAGACATTTAAAAAGACAGAAAAACTTCTTCCCTGCCACAAAAGACCCTACAGTCAAACCCAGAATGGTTCTCAGTTGCTCTTTACAGTCCAGGGCCACAGAAGTCTTTTCCAAAGGGTACCACATATGTACGGTTTGTATATTTCATGACCCAATGTAGAACCTGCACTATGTAGTGTTTTGCCTTTTTTTTTTTTCTGGTGAGGCAATCGGGGTTAAGTGACTTGTGCAGGGTCACACAGCTAGTAAGTGTTATATGTCAGAGGCCACATTTGAACTCAGGTCCTCCTGACTCCAAGCCCAGAGCTCTATCCACTGCCCAACCTAGCTGCCCTACTATGTAGTGTTTTGTAAGGAAGCAGCCAGTCCCATAGGCAACGTGCTAATAAAACTATTGGGTTTTTTAAGAGGAAGAGTGTGGCAAGATCTAAGGGTTTGGGCAAATTGCAAGCTTAATGTCAAAGTATGTTTTGGTAGCAAAAAAAAAAAATTATTATGCTCTTTGGATGTACTGAGAGCCACAGCTCCTAGGAATGGGGAGGTGGGAACAGGATTATAGTCAAACCAAGATCTCTCCTTGTCAACCCTCATCTAGAATATTGCATTTAATTGTGGGTGCCAAAGTCTGAGAAGGACACTAATAAACAGAACAGCTCCAGAGGAGGGCAACCAGGGTGGTAAAGGGTCCTAAGTTCATGTTATATGTAATGATCAGTGGAAGAAACTGAGCATGTTTAGTTCAAGAAAGAGAAAGCTTGGGGGGAGGTGGGTGGAGGAAAAGAGCTATATTCAAGTATCCTGAAGGCTTCTCATGTGCAAGAGGGATTGAATTTATTCTGTTTGATCCCAAAAGCAGAATCAAGAACAATGAATGAAAGTTACAAAGAGGCAAATTCAGGCTTAATGTCAGGAAAAACTCCCTCACAATTAGAGCTGTGCTTGAATGGAATGGGCTATCTCAGGAAGTGGTGGGTTCCCCTCCTCAGAGGTCATCAAACAGTTTAGACAACCATTTGTAGGGTGTGTTATAGTGGAGATTCCTTTCATGCATTATTAGACTCTATAGCCACATGTCCTTTCCAAATCTTAAATTTTATGATTTAAGAAGATAGAAAAGGGAGGAGAAAAGGCATTATATTGTAATGGATAGCAGCCAGCTCTGGAGTCTAAGAAGCCTTACTTCAAGTCCTAGCTCAGAAATACTAGATGGATTACCATGGAGAAGTCACTTACAACGGCCCAGGCAACTGTTGAAGACTATAAATTACAGAGGGGTGACTAATCTGTATCAGTGGTGGGAGCTCTCCATACTACTGAAATCATAGGTTTAGATACCTCCCTAAAGTTCATCAAGTGATTATCAACCTTCTAGTGATAGATCCTCTCTGAAATTAGCTAGCCTAGTACTGGTATGATAGACATGCTATCTACCACCAGGTGGGCAGTCAAAGCCTTTCGAGCTTGGGAAGACTACCAAAGCTTGGTTATATTTGTCATGGTTTTTCTTTTAAAATGTTCATTAAAAAATCAGAAAACAATGAACTCAGGTATCTTTCATAGTCAAGGCTTGAGAAAATTCTTAACCAAGAAAAGGATACAAGCAATTACAAAGATAAAATTTTCATTTTCAATTACATAAAATGTGAAAGCCTTTACACGAACAAAATCAATGTAACTGGAACAAGAAAGAGAATCATTAATTGGGGGGGAAATGTCATATTTAATATCTCTGATAGGGGTCTGATATCCAAGATATATAGGGTACAAAGATATATAGCCACTCCCAAGAACTATTCCCCAATAGATAAGTGGTTCAAGAATGAGAAGAGATTTCAAAAAAAGAACAACAAACTATTAACTATAAGAAAGATTATTTCAAAGGACTAATAAGAGAAATGCAAACGAAAACAACTCTGAGGTTTCACCTCACACCCAACAAATAGATCAAGATGACAAAAATGGGAAGAGTCAATATTGAAGGGGCTTCAGAAAGACCTGCACTCAAACAATTTCTGGAAAACAATTTAGAATTATGCAAAAAATGTGTGGGCACTTAAAAAAGCTGTCCATACCCTTTGGCCAAGAGACCCTACAGCCATGCTTATACCACAAGTAGATCCAAAACCAGAAAGGCTCATACTGTACCCTAAAATAGTCACAGCAGCATTTTTTGTGATAAGAACGAGAAACAAAACAGATACCAATAGACAAACTATGGTACATGAATGTAGTACAAAAGTTATTATGCTGTAAGAAATGAGAAATATCAAGAATTCAGAGAAGCATGGGAAGCTTTGTAGGAACTGAAGGAGCAAAGAGAACTAGGAATTCATTATCACTTCCCTCTCACCCCCAGACAAATAGGCAAAACATATACAAGGTTAACAATGCAAACAGAAAAACCAAAACAAAAATAAAAAACATGAAACTAAATGCTACGTAAATTATAGCAACCAAGCTTGGCACCCAAACATAGCTTCCTCCCTTTTTTATATATAGTGGGAGACTGGGCATAGACTATTCCATATAAAATGACTGGTGACAATTATGTTGCTGAACTGTTTCCCTCCAACATTCTTAAAAAAAATTTTTTTTTACAAGGAATAGCTTGCTGGGCAGAAAAGAGTTGGTAAGGTTATAATTCAAAGTGAAGAAAATATAAAAAGAAGAGATAAAAACAAATAAGCTTTAAAAATATTTTAAGTAAGTGTCTAGGTTTTGCCTCCCTGGTTAGATTGTAAGGATTGTCTTTTCTAAATACGCTTTTGCATGTGTATACCACTTAACACTTTTCAAAGCACTTTCACATCTATGATCTCATTTGATCTCCAAAACAACCTTTAAACTATAATTCCCAACAAACAGCTGATGAAACAGACAAGAGATTTGTCCAAGCTCACAAAGCAAATTAGTAGTAAAGAAAGGACTACAATTTGAGGTCCCCCACCCCCAATTCCTAGTCTGTGGTTCTTTTCATCATTTTTATTTCTTTTGTATTTTAATCCAAACCATTAGTATAGAGTTTCCTTCCCACAGAGAGGACGGTATACTGAGACTGAGTGAATGGCAAAGGTTAAGTGTTAGACTTAGGAAGTGGCCAGTGTGACAGTATAGGGAGTTCCAAGACAGGAAGTTTTGTGCAAACAATAAGTGTGAAAAGATTCCTTCTTAATTCTCAACACCTAGACTGGAAAAAAAAAATGAGTGTCAAGAGTTCAGAAATAATGTATAGCCCTGAGCAGAAAATTATCTCAGCCAGAAAGCTGTCTAAGGATATTAGCATCTGGAGCATCTACTAAGTCTGAGCAAGGTTCCAGCTGTCCTACTTACCACACACTGACCTTGACTGCCCATGGTCGAGGCTGCTGTGTGGTAGGTCTCACAGTCCACGCAGAATGTCCCCTGCTTCTCTGCCCCCAGAAGTTCCAACTTCCTGGTCAGGAGCTCCACGGTCTGCTGGACACTCTTACCCTCAGCCACAGGCATCTGGGACACACTAGAAGGGTAGTGACAAGCCTTCAGGGTCCACATAGATATGAACAGGCTCCCAGAGCTTCTCAATCAGCAAAGCAAGCTGGAAGCCCCAGGTCCCATCCCAGTCAGAGTCCCATCCCTACTGGGAGGTGCCACTGCTCACATGTGAGAAGCAAAACACCATAAGCTGTTTGTGTGGCTTTGGCCCAACTGAGAATTCTACAGAGAAAGGAAGATAAAGAGATCCCAGGGGTCAGACTGAGCTTATCAGAGGCAAACCCCACATTCTTCCAATGCAGCAGGTGTTTTTCCATTTCCTGGTTTTTACCTAGTTCCCTTTGCTTTCATACACCTTTCCCCTCACTGTGCCAGGTCTCAGAAGGAGACTGCTGCTTTAACTCCGGGGACTACTAAATGGCAGTCACCAACTTGCAAGTGCCAACAATAATTCTAGAAAGGAAAGGTCTTCACAAGCTCTCAAGTGTGGAGCCAGAAAGCAGTGCCTTTATCTGATGCCCTTCCTCAGTCAAGAAGCATTTACTAAGCACTAGATGTGAGGCACTGTGCTAAGCACTGGGGATACAAAGGAAAGATAAGGTTGACAAGGACCCCTCAGCACCAGATGTGGAAGAGTCCACATTTTCTCTTGCCGTTTCTCCTTCTCCCTCTTTAACATGCTGGGTTTTCCAGGCCTGACCCAACAGCGTTCAGAAGCTGGCTCCTTCCTCCCCCTTTCAGTGCCAAAGATAACGCTCCCTCCCGCGATCCCGGAAGGATGGTCATCAAGGTCTGGCCAGGCAGGAGACCCTGCCCTCCTGGTCCAGCTCTACTGCAGTGTGTCTGGGGTGGGAGGCCGGACCAAGGAAGAGGGCCTCCCACCGCCCTTCATCTGCCCGTAAAAAGATGGAACTGCCTTAAATTATTTCTAAGGTCTCCCAGAAGCTTCAAAAACCTACAAAACCCACGTGTAAACGTACCTCCCCCTTCCCCTCCCCCAGGCCTGCAGCGCCCACGGAGGGGGGAGGGGCTGAGAGCTAGTAGAGGGAAGGGCCCGACTCACACCCGAGCCCGAGCACCCCGCACCCACCCACCCCAGCAAGACCAGGAAAAGGGGAGGGGTCGGCAGGGGGCCTCTGCGGGGACGCATCGCCTTCTCCGTCCTCCCCCGTGCTCAGTTCCAGGTACTTAAGGAACTTTGCGACATCCCCCCACCCAAAAGAACCTTCCCCCTCCACGTGCACCATTCGCAGCCCTACCATGTCACCCCCATACTGACGGGCCGTACGGGAGTGTGTGAGTTCGAGGAATCCGACGCCGCGGCCTCGCCTCTCCCTCCACTCTCCCCACAGGAAGCCCTACTTCCAGGCCTCGGTGGGAGGTGGACGGAAGATGTGTTGCGGAGAGAGAAGGGGGTGGGGTAGAGGAGGAAAAAAAGAATGAGGAAGTGATGTCTTAAGTCGGGGCCCCCGGAAGTGACGTATAAACAAAGCGTTCCAAGGCGAGCACAAGCCGGGCACTTGCCAGGATTTAGGCGATTACCTCGACTGGGAGCTCCGCCCACTTTCCCCACCCTAGAGCAGGGCGGGAGAAGGTTTCTAGGAATTGACTCGAGACCTAAATGCTGATCTCGGGAAGACAGAACAAATCCAAGCCAGGGCTCCAGCTACAGTGAGCAACTGTAAATTAGACTTCTAAGGATAACGCAAGCCGTCGTACAGCGGGGCTTCGGGCGGGGCCTGGTGACGTCTAGCTTCAGGGGGCGGGGCCTGGGTGGCTCCGGAAGCTGATTTTCCGGCCTCCGAAGGCTGGGAGGCGCTGCGTTCCGCCAATGGAGCTTGTCTTGTAAGTCTGGGAGGTGCAGAGTATTACGCAATGCTGGGCGCCGGCGCAGTCCAGATTCCTGCCAGTTCCCCACGTGTATTTTGGAGAAAGGGGTAGTGGAGACCATGCCCAAGATCAAGGCGTCCCGTAAGGCCGGAGGGCAGGCAAAGCATGCCCCGCTGGCGGACCAGATCTTGGCAGGGGACTCCGTACAGCCCGGAGTCCGGGAGAAACGGAGGGACCGAGGCCGCGGGACGGAGGAAGAAGAGTACGTGGGGCCCCGGCTGACCCGGCGGATCCTGCAGCAGGCGCGAGAGCAGCAGGAGGAGCTAGAAGCTGAACATGGTTCGGGTGACAGGACGGATCCGAGAAAGCCCACCACGCACCTGGGTTAGTGAGGGGGTCGAGCCTGGCCTCCCCTGGAAGTTGGGGAAGGGGAGGGGGAGGGGCCAAGAAACTTAAGGCGGAGCTTCGGGGAAACCTTATAAAAGAATGCTCTCGCTAATCTTCAGTCTCTCCTTGTACACTAGCTGCTTGCTTACTGCTTACAAATATGCATGCATCTCCCCCATCCTCAATAATCCGTCCATCCCTCCCCTCTATCAAACTGTATCTGTCCCCCTCTCTTCGGCTGAATTTGAGAGGGCTGTTTACAATAGGTGCTAACTTTGAATTAACCTTCCTCTCATTCTCAATTCTTTGCAAACTGCCTTCTGATCTCATCATTCTACCAGTACAGTTTAATCTACAAATCTCTGCAGCTTTTGACACTGGGTCGACCTCCCTTAATACTCTATTTTCTATAGGCTTTTGTGACACTACTCCGTCTTGCAGCCCTAGGCCACGTGTGGCCCTCTAGGCCCTTGAGTTCGGCTTTTTGACTGAGTCTAAGTTTTGCAGAACAAATCTTTTTATTAAGGGGATTTGTTCTGTGAAGTTTGGATTTAGTCGAAGGGCCACACTTGAGGACCTAGAGAGCCACGTGCTCTTTTGCTGTCTCCTTTGCTGGATGTTCATCCAAGTGAAGCCTTCTAACTGTGAGTGTGCCCCGAGACTCTGTGCTCTCTTATTCCTCTCTACTATGTCATTTGGTGGTCTTATCAGCATCCATGGATTCATTTATAGTCTCTATGCAGGTGGTTCTTAGATTTTTTTATCCAGCCCTAATATTCAGTCTCACATCTCCAACTGATTATTGGACATCTCCATTTGTATATCCCATAGACTCCTCAAAGTCATTATATCCAAACCTGAACTTATTATCTTTCCTCTCAAACCCTAACTTTGCTGTTACTGTCAGGAGCCTAGCCAACCTAAGAGTCATTCTCCACTCTTCATTCTTTCTCATCCCACTATTTCCAATCAGTTGGCAGGTCCTGTGGATTCTACCTTTGTAGAAAAGTCTATATGTTCCCTTTTTTCCTCTGACACTGCTACCATTCTGGTACAGACCTTCATCACCTCATCCTTAGGCTATTGTGTAATCAGGTCAATCCATCCCCCACTGAGATGTCAAACTGTTCTCAAAGTTCAGGTCTGATCATGTAATTTCTGCATTTAGTAAACTAAAATGGTTCTCTTTTATCTCCAGGATCAAATATAAAATCCTGTTTTCCACATACTCTACCATTCAAGGACTCTGGTCTTCTTGCTGTTCCTTGACCAAGACACTCCATATCTATACTTCTCTTTTCATTGACTCTTTCCCATGCATATAATTTTCTTCCTCACCTCTGCCTCCTGGCTTCCCCAGCATCCTTCAGGTTTCAACTAAAAATCCCACCTTCTGCAAGAAACTTTTCCCAATTCTCTTTAGTGCCTTCCTGTTGTCTCTCCCATTAGATTGAGTTCATTAGAAGCATCTACTGTTTTTGCCTTTGTATAGCCAGCTCTTAGCACAGTGTCTAACACATAGAGGACATTTAATAAATGTCTGTTAACTGATGGCTCAGGCATGGTGGCAAGTAAGACATGACAGGGAAAGGGGACCCCAACAATGATATTCATTCACTTCCCTTTCCTTCTGACTAGACTTCTCAGAATTCTACACCTAGATAGGACCATGGAGGTCATCTGATAAATGAAAAGTGTCAAACAGCATTTTTTCATTTGTTTGTTTACATCTATTATTTAGTTATCTTTTTCTTACTTTTCATCCCTGCTGCATTTACTACTCACTACTGACTACCCTCTCCTCCTGGATATTCTCTCTTCTTGAGGTTTTCAGACAGTTTGCTCTCTGGTTTTCCTCCTTCATGTGTGATCACTCCTCAGACTCCTTTGCTGGTTCATGATCCACAGTCACACTACCTAACTGTAGTTATACCCCAGTGATATGCTGGTAAATGTATAACAATCAGCTCTTCCACATGCTTTTAAGCTTAATCTGCATAATTAACGTTTTCTCCATATCTTAAGTCTAGATAATCAACAAAAAAGTAAATCAAACTCTCATTTGTAACATTTACCAGCTTCCAAAGTGTAAATCCTCACATTGAAAATTTAACAATCCCAAAAGCTAGTTGCTGGCTCCAGCACTCCCCTGGTGTACCCCAAGACTATATCCTGGGCTCCGAGTCTTTTGGCCTGTTTAGGCTAAGATCAAATTTTGTGATCAAAATTTCCTGTGTCTCTTCATTTAAACATTAGCTGAATAAAGTGAAAATATCTATATATATACATAGATAAAACATTTTTTATGCACTCACTGTGTGCCAGGTACACAAATGACTACCAGATCTCTTTATTTAACCCTAGTCTATATCCTGAACTTCAGCCCCACATCTCTAACTGCCTATTAGGCATTTCAAACTCAATATATTACATTCAGAGCTCATTCTCTTTGTCCTAAAACCAAATACTCTTCTTAACCTCTCTATTTCCGTCTTCCATTCATCCAGTTTCACATCCTTGACATCCTAACCTCCTTCACTCATATATCCATTTAGTACCCAAATCTTGCCATTTCTACATCCACATCTCACATATCCCTCCCCTTCTGTCTATATAGCCTAATTCAGGCCTTCATCACCTTTCACCTAATAACCTCTTAATTGGTTTCCCTGTCTCAAAGACTCCGTCCTTCTCTCCATCCTCCACACAGGTGGCAAAATGATTTTCCTAAAATACAAGTTTTAGGTAACTCCCATACTCAATAAATTCAGCTGGCTCCCTCTTGCCTGTAGGACTGCATAATAAACTCCTGTGGCATATAAAACTTTTAATCTACTCTTTGGGCCATCCAGGAACTGCCATTCTTGCCTTTCCTCCCCATCTGTTTCCAGTCTCCATACCTTTGCACTGGCTGTTCCCTGTGCTTGGAATCACTTCCTTCTTAGTTCCACCTCACTTTCTTTCAAAATTCAACTGAAGTGTACCAACTTCTCCATGAAGCCTTTCCTATCTCCCTATCTGCCAGCGCCCTTCCCTAGGAAAAAAAAACTATTGTATTTATTTTCCACATACTCATATATGCATATGTTGACTCATTTGATAGTATGTTAGCCCCTTGAGGGCAGGGATGGTTTGATTTTTGTATTTGTTTCCCCAGTGCCTAGCACAGTGGCCCATAGTAGGTACTCAATAAATGTTTCCTGAATAGTGACCTTAGTGGAGCCTCACAAATAACTATAAGATAGGTACTACCAATATTATTAGGTGAGGAGAATGACGCTAAACAAGGTTGAGTCATTTGCTTGAGATGGCACAGCTAGTTCAGTGTCAGATTCACCCCAAGTCTTCTCATGCTGTCTCCCAAAACCTGTAGTCTAACCCTGTCATTTGACAGATGAAGCAAAGTGAATATTCCAACACTGTACAGTTGAAAAAGCCTTGGATCAAAATTAAGGAACCCAGGTTCAAATCCTACCTCGGTCACCAGCCTTTGTGACCATAGGTGAGTTCATTGAACCTTATTGGTCCTCAGTTTCCATATCTGTAAAATGAGAGAGTTGGAATAGATATACTCTAAGGTTCCTTCCAGCTCTGAATCTTTGATACAAAATCCAGTGCTGTTTCTAGTACGCCATAATTCATTATCACCCATATTTAGCATTTAGTTGAATGCTGTCTCACTTCTTGGAATTCCTGTAGCATTTGCTATCTTTGCCCAGGTTTTAAATTTATCTAGTACCACCTATTCTTATTTTTTTAATGTGTCTGAACCTTGCGTCTCCAACTAGACTTCTGCCTGGCAATTAGGACCTTACATATACAACTTTGTTCTCTACTTGTACCTAGCACATACTATCTTGCCAAACTGTTCTTTTTTTTTCCCTTTTGTTTTTTAAATTAAAAATTTATGTTCTCCCTCATAACAAGTAAACCTAGTTATGTAAAACAAATTCTGACATTGACCACGTCTAAAAAAATCTGTATCTCATTCTCCATCCTAATATCACCTTTGTGTCAAGACATGTAATGTCTCCTCACCAGGCCCCTGGAATTACGTCTAGTCACTTCACTGATCAGAGTTGTTAAGTTTTTTTTTTTTTTTTGAAGTATTTGTCTTTACATTGTAGTTGTCATTGTATAAATTGTTCTCCTGGGTCTGCCCATTTCACTCTTCATCAGTTTATGCATCTTTCCAGG